TATACAGGTGAATGTATCAGAGATAGGTTTTAAATTATGTGTCTGTGTGTACACTTGTATCTCTGTTATATAACTGCGTATCAGAGATAGGTTTTACATTATGTGTCTGTATGAACAATTGTATCCATGTTATACAGCTGTGTGTATCATACATAGTTTTTACATTATGTGTTTGTGTGTACCCTTGTATCTATGTTATACAGTTGTGTATCTCACAGGTAGGTTTTACATTATGTATCTGTGTGTACACTTGTATCTATGTTACACAGTTGTGTATCTCACAGGTAGGTTTTACATTATGTATCTGTGTGTACACTTGTATCTATGTTATACAGCTGTGTGTATCAGAGAAGGGTTTTACATTATGTGTCTATGTGTACCTGTGCCCGTGTGCCTATGTTATTCAGCTTTATATGTCAGAGGTAGATGTGTACATAGATGTATGTGTATACATATGTGCTCATGTTATACAGCTTATAAAGGGACTCTATGTAATTCGCAAGTGATCACATATTGAAAAGATGGGATTCTGACGAGGAAATTGTGCACAAGGAATATCAGGGTTATAAATCACTGGGTCACCGGAGCTATCGCATCTGGTCACTATTCCTTGTCATAATATGTGGTATCATGAACCTGAAATATTTGTATTTATTTGGTCTGAATCAGATTTGGAAACAAATAACAAATGATTATATAGAAAGCACATGTTTGATGTTGAAATAATTATATGAGCCTGTGTTTTGAAGTCAGGAGGCATGTGATACAAATAACATGCCTCGATTCAGTACACATACATAACTATTTGCATGAAGCTTTACGTGTCTCGACAAAGCTAAGTGGTAGGAAGGTTACCGTCCATTCTTACTGTTATTAATAGTAAGATCGTGATATAGGCAGTTGTATTACACAAGGAAGTTATATTTGCCATGTGAACAATATCGGTTTATGCAACAAGCATTGGCTATTTTCAGTAGGGGCTATTTGAAACCTCAGTTTCATTTGCATAGGATGGTTTACTGAATGAAAGTACATGACTGAACGATAGAATGTTTGAATACGATAAAAGCAAGCTACAGGCTCATGCGAAGAACATTTTAGGGCGATTTACCGATACTACAGGTAATATAGGAAGAGAAAGACAATTCGTTATATAATCTATTTAGTAGAGCCAGGCACACTCAATACTTTCAGACAAAGAACAAGAGTTTTATTTTTTTTTAAATTACTTGCTCTTACATTTCAACTTCGATATTTATATGTCTAACACGTTTATCAAACAAAATCACAGGCAAATGAAGCAAAACCTATTTTGATCGAGTAGATGACAAAGAGGAACCTCCAAATGGTTTGTAAACTACTGTGATTAAACTCATACTTAATTATCAAATACCCAGGAATATTTAAATAAACGGTTTTCGTTAAAGGTTGTCATTAAAAAAGAAAACGAGGTGTCTGTCTTGATCACTTCCTCAGGCCCGCCAATGAAATACATTCTCACGTATTCTGATTTTTTTTTAGCCAGTCGTCAGTTACATCTTTCAGGACTAGGAGATTTGTAGTGCGACAAGACGAGTTACATTGTAGGTCATGTCAGTTAGGTACAGCTATCAGGGCAAGGAGGTTTGAAGTGCGACAAGACGAGTTACATTGCAGGTCATGTCAGTTAGTTAATCTATCAGGGCAAGGAGGTTTGTAGTGCGACAAGACGAGTTACATTGTGGGTCATGTCAGTTAGTTACATCTATCAGGGCAAGGAGGTTTGAAGTGCGACAAGACGAGTTACATTGCAGGTCATGTCAGTTAGTTACATCTATCAGGGCAAGGACTAGTTACATTGTTACAGAACAGAACGAGTAATGCATGATGTTACCACTGGAAGAATGAACAAATTGAGGAAAACAAAAAGAGGAAACAGAACTCCAGCCTTTAGTGTATATATGTCACAACGTTTGAGGTACAATTGAAGATGATCTTCTATGAAGATTTGGAAGAGCTTCATACTATTATTGCTCTAAGTTGTTTGGTCAGGGTTTCAGCATATTCAAGGCCCAGTAATCTTTTCCAAAACATTATGGTAGACATGTAGAGGACATTTCCAAGTTTGACGTATTTAGCCAAGAGGTATTACTTAAGCTTCAGGTATATCCAGGATCTGATATCGTTCAATAGCCATAAAAATCGCCAATTCCTTCCACTGATTTATTTCCCTGAACCAGAAATACAGGCGGCCAGTGAGGCCGCTTCATCTGTTTCATTTTTAGATCTATGCATAAAGATGACAAGAGGGATCGACTTTCAATGTCCAAAAGTCAACTTCCCCTTCATGGAGAGCAATATTTCAACAACTCCAGTCTTTGGTGTTTACATTTCAAACCTTTTTAGATACAATCGAGCATGCTATTTCTTCCAATGTGTAAGAGAGCTCAGAAGTTGTTTGATCCGGTTACATCTTTCAAAGCCTCAGAAAAGCTTTCACAACGTTGTATGGTAGACCCATGGGGGACATTTCCACATTCGGCGCATCAGTGACAAAAATAATTACTGATGCATGTCTTTATAGTAACTTGTACCATAGGTTCCCGTGCATTTTCTGGTGAACAATTGACTTGCCGTTGTATGTGTTTGTGACGGGTGCAGGATACACTCACCTTTTCTTGAACACCTGGTATCATCGCTATTTGAAAGTGATTCGTAAACACATGATCATGAATAGTCGGAATCGTAAATCGACTAGGCTTTCAACAGAGATTTCTATTAAATATGGAAAGGATTTTGTCGCTTCTATTATTCAGTGTGTGAGGAAATATGAGAATGTGAGATATACTCTGTCGTAAAATACAGGGTCAGCCGAGTTACACAACACACGTTGTCCTGTTGTTGTGTCATAAGCTATGTTCTCTTTTGGTTTGCTACGTGTTGGACAGAGTGTTTGCCCTCGTTACAACAAACATAGTTCTAACCCTGAATTCTCTTGCCATGTCAGAATGAACTTACATTTAGTCAAATGTTTACGTATGCTTTCAGATTTAGACAATTTCAAAATGATGAAGTTGATAAAATGAGAAAATGTATTCTGCAAAATTCTCATTAACATCAAATCTTGACGCTGCAAGACAAAATGAAACATCAGCGAACATTGTATGGATCCATTTTAATCTCTGGAGACACTCTTTAATTGTACTTTACTTATTCTCAGTGGCAAGTTGATGGTATGTCATCATTTGCAGATTGATATTAATACTAGACTGAAAAGCACTGAAATGTTTGAATATTGTTCCACAAAAACGAATGAACATATGTGTGTGTGTTTTACATTCTTTATGAAAGCTTCATGTGAAGAAAAAGTTATAATAGTCGGAATCTTTCTATAGTGGTCTCTTTCTTATGATTATGGAAAGGAAATACACGTTTCTCTTCTCCAACTTGTGCCCTTTCCATCAGTGTCTGTACCCATTCATCTGCCTGCATATTTATGATCCAACGTGGCTGTGGGGTAATGATCACTCACACAATCATATTTTGCACATATCTTAAAAAAGTACAATAATCTGTCAAAACAAATGCAGCTTGTTAATTTTCCATATTTCTACGCTCTCCCACTTCCTTTCAATTTCATCTGGTTATGAGTAACCAAGTACAAAAGATGGTTTGTCATACGCCGCAAGTGCTGCAAAACAGTAATTCCCAGTCTAGTTTGTTTATGTATCTACATTTTTAGTATCCAGCATCAATATCGATAAAGAAAAAAACACAGCTGGTGTAGTTTCCAAAATATATAAATACATATTTGATAAACCATAGATTGAATAGGACTTAGTAATCAGTATTTGTGTATCACTATAGATAACAAAATACAAGGTTGTTCAAAAAGAGATATCGCAAAATGAGTGAAGTGAAAATGACAGCGAAAATTAGTTGTATCAATTTCTTGGTGGTATGTTGTTAATACCAAATAATAAGTCACATCCTCAACCCCCAAACCATTGATAAAATGTCATCTTGTGTACATCTGACGATCACGTGTGGAACAATAAAGTTTGATCTGTAGCAAGCGACATGTCACATGATGGTGTTTTCACAAAGAAAACAAAGTCTACGATACTCACTAGAAACCCATCATGGACATTTAAAATGACCTACCCTCATGGCGACATTGCCCAACGATTGGATAGAACATTCTAAAGATGTGTGTTGTCTGAATAGACATGTTTTTCTTTTTGAATTATGAGAGGTAAAACTGTTCGTTTGTCCAAACGTTCACCACAATGTATTATATATCAACGCCGTGGGAAACCACCACTCAAGCTTGGCATCTTTATAATTAGGATGACCAGACCGAGGGTCTGCTTCTGTGGTTCTTCTGCCTCGCTTAAATTCAGCAGCCCATTTCGTAACAGTTGAACATGATAGGCAGTCATACAGAGGCATGGTATCATATTTTCGTGTATTTACTTTGGTAATTTGTCCTTTTCATGCAGGTTCTTAACTGCAGCTCATTTATCAGTTTATCTCATCCCTGTCAACATCTCAAAATGGCTTCTCGGAAACATATGCCATAATATCAGTCTGTAGCTATCACAACATGATAGTATCCATACAGGTGTTGAAAACTCACATTGAACAGTATCTATGAGGTGACACATAAGGGTTGGTTTGTTAGTTGGTTTGTTGTTTAACGCCGCACTCAGCTATATTCCAGCTATATGACGGCAGTCTGTAAATACTCGTGTCTGGACCAGACAATCCAGTGATTAATACCATGAGCATCGATCCAATTGGGATCGATGACATGCATTAACCAAGTCAGCGAGACTGACAACCCGATCCCGTTAGTCGCCCCTTACGACAAGACATAATCGCCTTTCACGACAAGCATGGGTTGCTGAAGACCTATTCTACCCCGGATCTTCACGGGGCTGTATCTATGGGGTGACACACTTTTCGATTTACCCTTTCATCAGGAAGGGTGTGCAGTCACGAGACGAGAAAGACTGGTGTGTCATGCAAGAGATGTTTTATTTACGGTCACTCATCAGTGACAGACAGCGACATCAGCATCAGGGAAGACAACAAAGCCGTATGTCCGCGGGGGCAGGAGGAGTGGTCCTCCTGTCTTGGATCGAGGTCGGAAGACAGGGATCTTGTTGTTCACCATATATAGAGATTGTACGCGGTTCAGAAGTACATTCCTGTATAGGAACAGGAAGGTAAATGTAAAAACATTTTACATAACATATTCCTAGATACAATACATTTACAATCAATAATATGAGAGGATGTACATGGGAAAATGTGACTTGACTGCATTGATTTGATGCATGTATTGATGCTCCCATGACTTAGCTCTGTTTCGCGAGGATAGTAGTCGCTAGAATTGCAGAATTCAATTAAGGATCATTCCACAGTGAGTGAATGCGTATTATGCCATTTTGAAAATTACAGACTGTTCTATCGACTTTAATAAAATTGTGTTTGTACCACTTACTTTGCTCGGGGGTCGTCACCGACTGCGGACAGCCAAAACAACTCCATGCGACTGTTTAAGGATTTTGGAAAGGTGACGGACGCTGCTTTGGTGTCAAGATTTATTGCATAGACCGTGACACTTCCAGATGGATAGCCATATTTACTGAAGGCAGATTGAAATACGTGCTTTAAACATTTTAATTATTTTATCTTGGTAATATTAGGGATTTTGTTAATGTGGATACTCAGAAATTGTTGATCATTATATCACAATATAATATTCGAAATACCGTATTCGACGTAAAAGGCGCCCCGCTCTAACAAGCGCCCACGGCGATATTTGCTAATATATTGGCTAGTGAACAATCCCAATAGACCCCCTTCCGATTTATCAAGGTACACAAGACTTATTTATTCGTGTATAATACACACTCGTGTGTTATATGCACCCTTAATTATGGGCATTTATATTCTCGAAAAATATATCTGTCGTATATAAACAGTTCAGACTGTCAGCATAAACCACGAAATTTATCTTTCAACTCTGTTTTTTCCACCAAAGTAATATTCTAATAAGAGCCCCCCCCCCCCTATTTCTTATTTTGAGAGCGCCCTGGGCGCTTATTACGTCGAATACGGTTTCTATATATGTGAGGAACATTACTTGTTGTTCTTTGTACAATGGGCATATATTCTGATGTTGTGTGAGCCCTTTGTGCTAAATACAATATTGCCAACCAGTTGCTTGTAAATGAGAGTAAGCCAGTAGTCCTAGGAGAGAAACAGAACTGATTATAGTATAAGGACATTTAATGCAACAGCCGACTTCAAGCATACAATTGAGAACACATTCAACAATTCCCATCACTCATAGGTGAAACAAAGTGAATATTAAACTGCCTTGCAAATGGAAGTATACACCCATGTTTGATGGACGCTAACAATGAATCACACAAGATATAGTTACTCGATGGTGACGTACTTAATACGAATATCATAGGCGATATTACATGCATTTTATCAGCACCTCACAACAAGTGACGTGCACATGACGTCTCAAGGAACATGCGGTCGTAATTTCACAGTACTCAGTAGTGAGCAGAGTGGGATTGGTTCAGAGATACCAGAATTCTCAATATGACTACCACGAGCACAAATGCTTTGATAGCGTTAGCCGGCTGACGACGTCATTGCGAATCCGTTGCCATTCGTCCCTCCCGTGCAGCTTTCGGCTGTTGACGGTTCTGTGGTGCATGACGACGTCTACTGGTTTGACAATCCAGACGGTCTCACAAGTTTCATATAGCAGAGAAGTGGCGTTGTGCGAAATCTGTTTTAGGTTTGTCAGAACCATATATACCCATTTCGACAAAAAACGTTTTTTAATTTTGGGTCAGATCCATTATTCAAGTGTATACTTTAGTTTTCCCGGCAGTCTATTTTTTGTCACACAATGAAACAATAATCGTAGACATTGTCACTATACGCTATTCGAACGAAATTGCATTTAAGATTGGTGTTCGTCAGGGTATGACTGAAATAATGCCGATGTGACGTTAAACATTAACTCTCTCTGGCACACGCACACGCACACACACACACACACACACACACACACACACACACACACACACACACACACACACACACACTCTCACGCTCTTACACACTCACACACACTCTCTCACACACACACCCTCACACTCTTTCTCTCTCACACACACATACACACACACACACACACACACACACACACACACACACACACACACACACACACACACACACACACACACACACACACACACACACACACATAAGATTGCTGTAGTTTACCGTCTCCGGATAGTTGATGTAAGGTTCGCCCAACCAGGACCAGAGAAATCTTGACGGATAACTTTCGTGATGCCTGACTGGGCTGAGAGACCCAGTTTGTCCAACCATCTGAACATTTGAGGTAGTTAATGAATCCAGTTACAGTGTATATTCTGACATATACTGACGTACTTTAGAAACACAATGTTCTTATTCTTTCTATTATAATATTAATATTATGCATATTGCGAATAATAAGATATTTAAACATGGCATTACATGAATAACTGAAAATCTGATATTCTACATATATGGACAATTTGCCTATAACAAGTTCATCTGATGGTCACAACTTAATATGCTGATGAATTGTCAACTAAATACACTTGAAACGTGAAGGCTTGTGAAGTAATTTCTTTCAGTTGTGCTTGTAATCTGTTTTGACCAATACTTGCTGTCATCCGAATGGCATATGCTTAGATTTAATCTGATACTAACATTATCTAAAAATGTACACTCACAGAAATCCATCCACATATGTATTAGTCATATTCATCACACCATGATCAAAGAAGGACCCGGTCTCTCCAAGCCAAAGTGGCGTCCCAGCAGGCGCGTCTGATGTAGCGTTACATACAGTGTCTAGGGCCACCTTCAGCCTATCCATAAACACAGGGTCTGTGAAGTCAGCAAGTCTGCCTTCCTTGCCATTACCAAAGCAGCTGTGATCAGAAAGTTCAGTTCAGAGTCAGCAATCTTATGTGTGTGTGTGTGTGTGTGTGTGTGTGTGTGTGTGTGTGTGTGTGTGTGTGTGTGTGTGTGTGTGTGTGTGTGTGTGTGGTGTGTGGTGTGTGTGTGGTGGTGTGTGTGTTCAACAGCTTTAATGTCGTTGCATGTCTTGACTATGGTGCTGATAAACCAAGAAACCAAGCGTAAGTATGCAGCAACCAAACCACAGAGCAAATTCGAACGCCTATACGGACTCGGCCACCTGTGTCCCGTTTTACCATTTTGAACTTTATTTCAGTCATATCATGGCATGTCAGATTAATATGCACTGAAAGACTATGTGACTCATGTCATAAATCACAAACAGGCACATTGTGTTGACAATTGAATGCGGTGAATCACAGCTTCGAACCCACTTTCCGCGGATCCTGGCCCGGCTTACTGGTGTGCATTTGAACGCTGGGGTCATTCATTACACCCAGTGACCAAATAAAGCAAAATTCACCTTCAATAGATACGCATGTTTGAGACAATGATGAGATTAAGTTGCTTTCCACTTTTCATGAGATTTGTCAACATCGAACGTTATGATTGCAAATGAAATATACGTATACATGAGGACACGTTCGCATGGCTCTAGCATCTATATACATGTATAGTATATTCAATGTACATATTGCAGTACACGACTAGCACTCACTGATGGAATGTAATGGCATCAACGGATAGGGCCCCTCCAGATGTCAGGAAGCTGGGGAATGTAACATGAGTGAGTGAGTGAGTTGGGTTTAATGCCGCTTTTAACAGTATTCCAGTTATATCGCAGCGTGTCAGCTTAATGTGGGAGGAAAGCCCGAAGTAATGCAGGTCTCAGACGTTTGCCACTTCGGTGAAACCCACGAGCACGGGTATGGTGCTGACAAACCTAGAAACATAATCGGGGCGAACCGGGATTCGAACCCACAATCATAGGTTTCTGGCGTGCCCAAGGACACAACTCTGCACAGCGAACCGCGGCGCCTTAGACGACTGGGCCACCCGTGCCCCCGAATGTAACATGAATACTGAGTAGCAACAATGTATGTGTCTTTGATTACTCTGCAAGTTATTTATTCATTTAAACACGTACATCAAATGATACAATGAATGTTAAGTATACACCACCATCTGCTTCGTTTGTTATTGATAACATAAATTACGTGTAAGCTAGTATCATAGGCAGTTTGTAATTAATGCCAGAGAATGGCCGGTTGGCCACTGAAGCTTAACTTTGTGGATGAGGTGCAGGATACTGCAGGCTGACCATATGTGTAACGCAACACGATACATGGTAGTCCGACAGTGAGGGTTAAAGATAGAACGCTTTCTGTGAGTCGGGACTTGACCCTCGGACAGCAGCTAGGCAGGTTGGCCCATTTACGCCTCAGAGATCATGCCTGGCCATACTACTGTGTAGTTATATAGACATGTTAAGATCACGAATAAACGTTGTGGACCCACAGACGGACTTGTGTTGTCAAAAGAGAAATATCAGGTAGAGCACCAACGTCTTCTTGAGTGAGTGAGTGAGTGAGTTGTGTTTAACGCCGCTTTTAACAGTATTCCAGTTATATCGCGGCGTGTCAGCTTAATGTGGGAGGAAAGCCCGAAGTGATGCAGGTCACAGACGTTTACCACTTCGGTGAAACCCACGAGCACCGGTATGGTGCTGACAAACCTAGAAACATAATTGGGGCGAACCGGGATTCGAACCTACAATCATAGGTTTCTGGCGTGCCCAAGGGACGCAACCCTGCGCAGCGAATCGCGGCGCCTTAGACGACTGGGCCACCCGTGCCCCCACGTCTACCTGAGATACTAGGAATGTTTTGTTGATGGTTACGACAATCATACTCCCTCATGAATGAAATCCCTTTTTCAATGTGGAATATGTCAGGTCCGAGTATCAACGTATCCTTAAAGTAGGGACGCTTTCGTAGATTGTCGTGAAAGGTGAGGAAGTCTCTTCCCAGTTGGGCGCCAGAAATGCTTGTATTGTAATGATCAGGAAGGTTGATAGGTTCTGTAGAACAAGAACACCCATGGACATGCTTACAGTAAACGGACATTATTACATCAATGAATCATACAAGTTTTGGACTTCAGGTGATATTTGGGCTCACCAGCAAACAAGATAAGTATCAGTATGTACATTACGCGTAAAACATGTAAGCATGTTTCTTGACAACATGAATAGATATTTCTTATTTACATCCTCGCACCTCACCTTGCAATATAATACAGTTTTTTGCTTGATATGGTATTTAAATCATACTACTCTTTTTGGTCACATCTTGAATTTTTATATTTAATATTTCTATAAAACAGGTCATGAATCGAGATGCTATGTTGGATGGGAGATAGCAATATCTAACAATAGCTTCGCATGTTCCCAGTACAAGGTGGTGAATTACCAAATTCAGTTTGTTAAATATTATGTGTAATGTATTTTGATACCATTGCCCAGTTCAAAGCCGTAGATGTCATGTCCTTTCTGGCTGGTGTAGTCGAGAAGTTGGTCTGCATTGCTCGGATCCCAGTGGCCATCTTTCCGCTGCAGCACACTAAGACCAAAGATGAGATCCCAGCCTACATCTTTGGTGAAATTGTTTATTTCGTCCCAAACATGACCTGAAATGTGAATAAATAAGGCATCACATACATGCATGTGTATTACCTAACAACCAAACATGGATGTTAGCTATCTAATGGCGGAATACTGAGTACGAGGATGTTCGTCCGTATTTCTTCTTTGAATTGATTATGAATGAATGATTGAATGAAGGAATTTTTTTATTTCCTCCAGAGTTCAATCCGAAGATTTTAGATGGGCAAATACATTATTTACAATACATCAATGAAATTACTTGACTATATACAATGAAATTTTGTTCTACACTGCTATGAATAGATAATTTACGATGTACATTTTGAGAGCAGTAAAGTGTCTAGTAGATATACATAACGTATTTCTTTAAATTCCATATGAAGTGGCAGAAAGTCATTATGATGCTTTGCCAAGTATCGTAATCTAGTTCGTTAGTCAAGTCATGGACATCTGCACCGAGAAAGAATGAAAGCATATCATCATCGTCAAGCATATCTAATTTCACGTATACATCTACATCAAGTTTATCAATCAGGCATGAGAAGAAATTATTTCTGTCAGGCATCAACATTTCACAGTGCAAAAGAATATGGCAATCATAGTCATAGCAATGTCTATTGCAATGGTTACATTCTTTTGACACTTTTGCTCTTGATCCGATTTTAATACAAAGTTGCAGGGGTTGTCTTAGATGTGGATAGAGATACATTACATTATAAAAAACATGCATTTGTAACCGTTTATGAATTTTATGGTATCGTGAAAGATCCGGTCTCTGTGCTAGTCTCTCTCTCCAGATGTACTGTTCATTCTCTGATAGACGTCTGATTACAAAAGCTCGCCAAGCCGATTTTGTTGGGAACGACCGGCTATCAGTATATCTCTTTATATAGTTATCCAAATGGTATTTTTTAGCAGTATATAGAAGGATGTTGCATATGCTTACTGGACGGCTAATATTGACAAAAGCGTTGGTAGCAATGTGAGCACAAATTAGGTCTTTTGTTTTTGAGTTAATTACGTGCACTGGTCACCTGTGAGTACACTGTTAGATACATTTGGTGCCTGCAGACTTGGGGTGAACGTTACGCCATCTGCATCCGTGCCCCCAATGCGGAGTATGCAGGGAGAAAATGCTCGGGCAAGGGTCTTTAACTGTGGCGACCTGAATGTCAAAATGGAATCTGTAGTAGAAACACATCAGGTCGTCAATATAAACAAATGCCTGAAAGCATGTCACACTTACACTACCCATCCCAATCCGGCAACAACGGTAACATATACGTGTACGCACGTAGCGTTTATCACAAAATAACAATTATGTCCTCTGAATCAGTTTGGTTAAACTCCCATTTGAAAAGTAGTTCAGTGATATCAAGGCGCCACTGCTTGTTGTAATTATCTTACCTAAATCAATACCAGTTTGTTGGAATCCATTCCGAATTAGGATGGCATCAAATGTGACACCAACAAACCTGTCGTCTATTGTATGAAGGACCGAATCGGTGTGGATTTCAACAGACACAGACGTCGTTTCACAGACAGCAGACAAGGCGTAGAGACTGAGCGTCGCCAGTAGTAACATGCCTACTGCAGCCATTGTTTGGCTGGAACACGAGATAAGACAGAACCGCACGACGAGGTCAGAGGCCGTGTTCCTATACTTCTGGATTACCAGACTGCCAGCTGACATTACGAATTTTATTATCTTATCTGCTAATAATTCACAAAAATCAGTTTTCCTATTCTTCACTTATTACTTGTTTTGAAGTTCAGTAATATTATGATTTTGTGTTTATTCCGTCACACTCCATTGTTCCCGATTTCTGTGTGGTAAATTGCCCATCACAATTTTTAATAGGTTTCATTTGACATCGGCCAAACATGGGTAAAGCTAGGAAATTAATGTGTTGCAAATCGATGAATGGAAATAAACATATGTTATCTCCAGAGTCGAACTATTCCTTCCTTTGCTCTTTGACACCTTGGGGTCACATATCAAAGGAAGGCTTGTCATTAACATTAACGGGGGCACGGGTGGCCCAGTCGTCTAAGGCGCCGCAATTCGCTGTGCAGAGTTGCACGCCAGAAACCTATAATTGTGGGGGGCGGTCGGGTAGCCTAGTGGTTAAAGCGTTAGCTCGTCACGCCGAAGACCCGGGTTCGATTTCCGACATGGGTACAATGTGTAAAGCCCATTTGTGGTGTCCCCCGCCGTGATAATGCTGGAATATTGCTAAAAGCGGCGTAAAACCTCACTCACTCACTATTATTGTGGGTTCGAATCCCGGTTCGCCCCGATTATGTTTCTAGGTTTGTCAGCATCATACCAATGCTTATGGGTTTCACCGAAGTGGTAAACGTCTGAGACCTGCATCACTTGGGGCTTTCCTCCCACATTAAGCTGACACGCCGTGATAAAACTGATATACTGTTAAAAGCGGCGTTAAACCCAACTCACTCACTCACTAGAAACCCGGTTGGTTGGCCTGTCTCTACAGATATCATGACGTCATACACGTCACTTGCTTGTCAAATTACAACTGACACTCTTCATACTATGAGTAGCATATATAAATGGTGAATATGATGGTAGTTGCACGATAGATCTTATTTTGACACACAAATATTTCACCGTCGGGTTTTGATGCTAAATACTCAGGCAGGGCTGAGACCTAGATTGTACGATCTCAAATAGTATCCAATTAATTAATGTACTATTTCACAAACGTTCTAATTTTTTTACCAATCAAACTCTCTATTGGAGGATGGTGAGTGAGTGAGTGAGTGAGTGAGTATGGTTTTACGCCGCTTTTAGCAATATTCCAGCAATATCACGGCGGGGGACACCAGAAATGGGCTTCACACATTGTACCCATGTCGGGAATCGAACCCATGTTTGATTAAATTCACAAGTTTTAATCCGTGAAAATAACAACAGTTAAGCAGATTAAGAATCAAAGGATATCGCACTGGGACGTGTAAATAGTCTGGGTCAACAGGTCGACGTCCGGCGAATGCCCCGTTTAGATGCGGTTTCGCGTCTATGCATATATCATGAGGCGGATAATTCATTTTTAAATGGTTCTGTAGATTATTAGTGAGTTATTTATTATAATCACATTATAACAAGTAAGACGTAATTATACTAATGTTTATCATTCTCTCTGCAGACAAGAGTCACAGGAAAAGTTGTGGGTTCATTATTTTAAATCGTAGGCTAATTAATACTTATATAACTTTTATTCTTATCTTTCAAAAGAAAACACAAACCTAAATTCAACTTGACACATGTTTTTACATAATTGTTAAACTTTTTCCTACAGACATATTGTTAGTTATTAATTTATTCGACGCAGATCTGCACCCCCACTGCATGTCTTAACAGACAACTAAAATAGAAACTCTGACATATTAAATATCGTGCTATCTGCTTTGTAATTTAATACCAACTCGACGATAAAATGTTCACATGGATTTATCTCAAACGTTGCATATACCCATCCAACTGTGCTGTAGATTGAAGCCGATGTATCTGCAAAGAGAAGTTGCTTGTGTGCTTCGTGACTGCAATATGAAAAGACGAGTGTTGTCATTATATTATTAAGTGAACCTTTACGCACTTCCTTTTTCTACATCTCAACCAATGAGAATTGTTCAGCCATTTTCAACAGGATGTATAAAGGATACACACGGTAATATATACTTGTGTGCTATTAATACGTTCTTTTGAAATCCGTGTCTTTGCGTCAGTTCATGTTCAACAGGTTGTGTCGAGACTATTAACAGCGTCACGATTCTTTTCCTATAAGTACTGCCACCCCCCAGTGGATACACATATGCCTTTACGACATCGAAACATCACAACCATTTGGACAATGACAGCTGCGTGGAGTCTCCTGGTACTGATCTTGTGTGTGGGGCTGGTCACAAGCTCTGTGCTGCCTGATAATGTGGAACAAGTTGCACAGAGCCATCATCGAGGTGAGTCAAATGATCCAGATACGACGCCCTTCAGCGCGGTTAAATCTACAAGTAACCCAGGTCTATACTGAAAACACATTGTGTTTATGATGATAACATGAAACCTGAACTCTTTGGTATTATCGGGGGCACGGTAGGCCCAGTCGTCTAAGGCGCCGCGATTCGCTGTGCAGAGTTGTGTCCCTTGGGCACGCCAGAAACCTATGACTGTGGGTTCGAATCCCGGTTCGCCCCAATGATGTTTCTAGGTTTGGCAGCACCATACCCATGCTCGTGGGTTTCACCGAAGTGGTAAACGTCTAAAAACCTGCATCACTTGGGGCTTTTCCCCCACATTAAGCTGATACGCCGCGATAAGACTGGAATACTGTTAAAAGCGGCGTTAAGCCAAACTCACTCACTCACTTTGGTATTATCAATGATATGAGTGAATGGGTTGTGTTCAATGTTGAAGTTGGCTGTTGCTCTGAATTAATGAACCACCGACAATAGACTTTAGACAAAGTACGAAGCTGTATGCATTCGAATTTAGATGTAAAAATCTAACACTGAGAGTGTGCAGCACAGCTACTTCATAAGCTAACATAAAGTGTACACCCAGCAAGTAGACAACATATGGTGCGGTATCTGCTCAAACACAGCGTTTCTTAAATCTTGACGCTTTATTCGCATATGTGATTCGCAAAAGACACGAGTCACAGTCGGATGTAGATTTTTTCATCCCAAACTGGCTCCCACAGGAGATATTGCTTGGGTGAGATCAAGCGATATCTACACTGTAGATATCGCTGAATGAAATTGCATCACAATGCTTTGTAGACAATGGTAAGGTCATTGGTTACCATGACGTCACAATCACATGACATCACCAATGGCTCTGATACTGAAGCTGCTAGCAGTACGTTTTACAATGAACACTCAACTGTTTACAAACTGTAAAAGTTGGAAGAATGATGTTGGATGATACATAAAAGCTCACCCTTGTGTCTTTTGATATCAAATATATCAACACTCATTGATATGTTTGATATCAAAAGACCTTCGGGTGAGATTGGTGTGTGTGGGGGTGGGGGTGTGTGTGGGGTGGGGTGGGGGGGGGGGGGGGGTGTTGGAGTGTGCAGTTTGAAACATGTAATTTGGCGTAATTGATAAATACATAAATGCTAGTGAGCTCATGCTGAAACAAGGGGACTTCAGCCCATTCAGCAGAAACCTTTTTTTCCATTGGGCGTGAAAGGCAACAAACTAGCGGTGAACATTATATGTTGACAGCAGGTGTTCGCGAAAAGGGTACGCATACCTTGCTCCACCAGTAGCACCAGCCACTCAAATAATTTGCATATAAAATAAGTGTATGTTTGTTGCTTGAGGCAGAAATCTTGCCTTACGAAGGCAGCCTGCAAACAATCGAATTTTGACCAGGCAGTCCAGTGATAGTGATTAGACGATCTAATGACACGCTAGCACGTTGGCTGATTTTATTAAAACGAAACACCAAAATATGTTAGTTTCGAATCACGTTTGCTGCTTACAAATGCAGAGATTCTACTACTTAGAAAAGAGAGACACATTTAAGAAATATATTCGTTTTGCAACAAAGGTTTCAATAACTCAGCTTGCCTTAAAACTTGAAATACACTCTCTTTGTCGATTTCTACGATATTTTCTGACCAAAGCATTTGCTATTAATATTAGCTTCCGGTGTGATGCGGTCATCAAATCAGCTGTAACAATTATAAGTGTTTATTTTCATTTGAAACCCCTGATTGATCAGTCAGAATCATGTGTTTTCCAACTCCATGGTAACTTCTTTGGTAACATGATTACTCGATACGTGGTTCCACTGGACACGGGGCACAATTATCTCAGAACAAATTATCAATCATCTAGTATCGGCTTAAATCGGAGGTATATCGTTAATAAATAATGCAATACATTATCTAGGCTGTAGAAGGCAATAGGTAACAAACGTGTTGGAATGATGTTTAAGTGGGTTTGTGGTGGGTGTGTTCCTATTTGTTGATAAAACCAGAATACTCCCCAAATAGATTGTCGTTCAATATCTTTTTATAACTTCATTATGTTTTACAGATATACGCCAGGCCACAGCAAGCTGTGGATTACTGCCCTGGTATTGTGTTTGGTTACAAAGATTACACTATACCTGGATATGGTTTTACCAGCAAAACTGCTATGGGAGTTGTACAAGTCCAGGTGGTCGTCGATAACGCCACGAAGACCAAGTTCAGCTGTGTGGTAGACAAAGACTGTGAGCGGTCAACATTCACACGTATATAATTATGTTTCGCGGGTCTCGCTCCCTGCAGTGAGACAAATCACCAAAGAAGAACACATGAAATGTATGAGTTCCTCCCTACCTGCATCTATTAAACAGGTGACTTCAAACGGCACTGTCCCCATACAACTGGCTTCAGATATGTTTGTGCAGTTCACTCCAGACATGTGTTTGTACTGTTGACTGAAGATCTGTTGGAACAGTTGTCTCATACTCCCTTGTGTATACAGTTAGCTCATGGTCTGTGTTTGTTCTGTTGACTTTAGTTCAGCGTTTGTACAGATGGTTCACTATATGTGTCTGTACAACTGGCTATGGATCTGTGTTTGTATGGTGTATGTGTCCAATAACCCTGCACTTTGCTATCTCTCTGATTTCGTCCCACCTAAAGTATCAGGATCTAATGATTGCAGCCTAAGGAATAGCTCTAAATTACAGAATCTACATTGCAGAACAGCAAGCTATGCAAAGTCTTAAAGTTTTCTTTCTAATATTCTTGAATTCCTTGCCTACTGCATATACTGAAGACAGTACATTGAATGATTTTAAAGGATGATAAAATGTAATGAAATGCATTGCAACAAATTTGATTTAATTATGGCCCTAGGTTCAACCAAATTGTGCACTGTCACCTGAGACTTGGCTCCATTGACCTCTATGGTGGCAGGTTTCAAAGGTTGATATCAGCTAATCCAAATTATCCTTGTGGCTACTTCCAAGAAGACGCACCTCACTATTTCTTTACTTGTACCAACTACACTGGTATAAGAGGAAACATGTATTTTTAATCAAAAGCTTATGATCTACACTCCATTCTTTATGAAAATGTAAATGTTACAGCAAAGATTAATTTAGAAATGCTAAAAACTGTTAACATGTCATATAAGCCTCTGGCAGATTTCTAATTTTACCTCAGTGCGAACTATCATTGTCTCTCATGTATCTGATTTTTGCTTATACTGCAGCATTTTCGGAGTCGACGGCTGTGTTTTTAGAAAAATAATTACATTATTATTTACACTTGACTGTATATTATAATTGATGACATTTAATGACAACTGGAGCCGTATTGACATCTTTTCTTGTTTACCAATCCAGTTACACACATTTGTGAAATAAAATATGTTTCAAACAACTCTAGAATTGTGTTTGTTCAGTTGACTCCGAGTTGTTTACAGAATGCTGATTATATAGTGATATTGGGTGCATACTTTCCCATATCAGCTGACAAAGATTCGAGAAATACCCCAGGGTAGTTGTAGACAGGAGAAGGGGACTAACTCCACAGGAAAGGAATAACATTAGTTAAATCACTGCAAGAATTTTTTGTCTGGATTAAGTCAGACAAAACAACTTAGGACCTATAGAGAAACATTTATCTCTGTATTGGTTACTTACTTGAAACTTGAACTTGAAAAACTTGCCCATTACTGTAACAAATGGGGGCTGACTGTCAATATTGACCAAACTAAAGTTGTAATTTTCAGAAAATCACATTAACCATTAGACAAACAGTTTTTTATAAGAATTAGTGTCACTTGAAATAGTAAAACAGTTTAAATATTATTTTTTTTATTGGTTTCCAATTGTAATCATACCCAAGCTATCAAAGTGTTATCAGAAAAGGGATTAAGGGTATGTAATGCTTTAATAAGTGTGATAAAAACAAATTAAATGTGAAATCTTCTCCAGAACTATTAGACACAAGTGTGTTAAAAGTATAACAGCATGGAAGCCAGAGATTCGTGCCCCTTTAATGCTTAGTGTTTGCATTTTTCCTTTGAATGAATTAATAAAGAAAGGACTGTAAGAAAATTCCAATTTGAACAAAATTACGGTTTTAGAGCAACAAACCAACCAACAACCAAGCAGTAAAGAATGAATTAAATTGTTGTGTGGACGTGTGGATGATGTGGGGAAAAATCAGAATCTCAGTCTATATGGTTATCGATCTGTCCGAAGTCGCGGCTCGCAAATACTGTACTGGACGATCTTCAAAGACACATAAATTACATACCTGATGTCCCTGATTGTGAGTATAACATAGTATCAATGACAGTCGAGAGAGCGAAGCGGAAGATAGTGTAACGTGATCACATAAACTGCGCCGAACGCTCACGCGATGGGTAAGATATATCTTCTCCCTACCAACGCAGAGTGCAATGTTACATATATCTTTGTTTGATCATGTTTAACTTTGTCGTTGTGTCACAAATAATCTGATGCGCAGAGATAAGCCTGTCCAGGGGAACTACTCAAACAACAATAGGTCGTTATGTCAAGCTTCTGTAAAGAGTTCTGCGTGCAATATTCAGATAGCTCTGTCACGAAGGGGCTGTCGGGTAGCCTAGTGGTTAAAGCGTTCGCTCGTCACGCCGAAGACCCGCCTTCGATTCCCGACATGGGTACAATGTGTGAAGCCAATTTCTTGTGTCCCCCGCCCCGATATTGCTGGAATATTGCTAAAAGCGGCGTAAAACCATAACTCACTCACTCATGGTTATGAAGTATCGGAATGGAAAAAGGCTGATTGTATTGAGAGAGTACATCGCAAATTTTGTAAATTGAATCTTGGTGTAGAGGATAGTACTAGTAATGTGCAGGTATGTGGGAGTTGGGGAGAGTTCCATTGAATGTCCAACGTGAAGTATGTAATGGTTAAATATTGGTCTGCTAATTGTATATTAAAAGAAATGTATACGACGACAGGTAATCACACGAACAACTGGTATTGTAAAGTTAAGTCTGTATTGTCAGCGAATGGCTTTTTCCATGTATGGATTTCACCTTGTAACAATAAAAATGTTTCTTCTTTTGTAAATTACTAAGGCAGCGTCTAGAAGATATTTATTTATCATCCAAAACAGGCTCCCACAGGAGATATCGCTTGGGTGAGATCAAGCAATATCTATTATAGATATCGCTGCAATAAAATTGCATCACAATGCTTTGCAGACCATTGTGTCGTCATTGTTACCATGACGTCACAATCAAATGACATCACTAATGGCTCTGCTACTCGTAGCAGTATTTTTACACTTAAGACACTGATCATTACTGTCTACAAACTGAAAAAGTTGGAAGAATGATGCTGGATGATAAACAGAATATCACCCTTATGTCTTTTGATATCAAATATATCAACACTCGTCAATAAAAGTTCCCGGCAAGCCTCGGTGTGTTAAACTTTTATCGACTCGTGTATATGTATTTGATATCAAAAGATACTCGGGTGAGATCTGTCTGTCCGCCTGTCTGATATCGTATAGATATGTGTTTGTTCGCTTTGCTCTGGATCTGTGTTAACTCTAAATGGCTACATGTTGCCGTCGCGTCAACTGAATTACAGTATGTGCATATGCTATGTTAGGAGGTGTTTCATCACACTCTGATTTTCCTGAACTTGATAGTCTATGTCCTGATTGGTTGGTGGGTTGGTTGTTTAACGCCGCACTCAGCAATATTCCAGCCATATGATTGCGGTCTGTAAATAATCGAGTCAGACAATCCAGTAATTGGCATCATGAGTATCGATCCACGCAATTAGGATACGATGACATGCATCAACCAAGTCAACGAGCCTGAATAATACATATATTTAGAATGAATAAAAACCTGTCAACGATGGACAGTAAAATAACTAGATTTATCACAGATTATATTTAAAACTAGTAGATAGCCATAAAAATATAACACCATACGTAACAATACAAGATAAAAATGAGCTATTGATCGCCAACCAAACGAAGAGAGATCACCATGCTTGGGTCCATGGGGACTTACAGTACTTTTGCTACCTGCACGGACCCCAGCCATGTCTCGTTGTAATCTATCCCCAACCGTGCATGTAATTGTCTATCTCGGAAGCCTTTAATAATCGAGCCAAACCAGTCAGAACAGAGCAGAACATTTTTCGCTCAAGGTTTGATTAGAACTATGTACAAAATCTAAAGTTGATCACTTAAAATGGGGAACAGTGAGTGAGTGAGTATGGTTTTAGGCCGCATTTAGCAATATTCCAGCAATAACACGGCGGGGGACACCAGAAATGGGCTTCACACAATGTACTCATGTCGGGAATCGAACCCGGGTCTACGGCGTGACGAGCGAACGCTTTAACCACTAGGCTACCCGACCGGCCCGGGGACATAATGAAGAATAGCTTCCTTTCACGAGTCAAGGAAGTGCGTTACTTGTGTATTTACTGCTGATCTGGGTTCGTATATCATTCATGAGCAGCCTCATGTGTGTATGTGTTAGTGTGTGTGTGTGTAAGTGTGTGTGTAGGTGAGGTGAGGTGAGGTGAGGTGAAAATTGGGTTAAACGTCGCGTCCAAGATTATTGCGCTTATATAGCGACGTGCATGTACGTGTATGTGTTTGTGTGGCTGCTTGTACTAGTCCGAACTGATGGCGATTTATAGTGCTAGCTCACTGAGATACCATGCCGCAGTTTAACATGAATACCCCACTCAGACACAGTATACTGACTACGAGCCAACCAGTCCTTGTTTTAGCCCCTTAATGCCGAGCGCCAGACAGGGTAACAACAAGTACCATCTTTTAACGTCTTTTGGTATGACGCGGCCGGGCATCGAGCCCCGGACCTTCCGCTCTCTGGGCGGACGCTCTACCACTAGACCATGGAGGCGGTCGTGTGTGTCTGTGTGTCTGTGTGTAATCGCGCGCGCGCGCGTGTGTGTGTGTGTGTGTGTGTGTGTGTGTGTGTGTGTGTGTGTGTGTGTGTGTGTGTGTGTGTGTGTGTGTGTGTGTGTGTGTGTGTGAGAGAGAATGTGGGTTTATGAGAGAGAATGTGTGTGTGTGTGAGTGTATGAGTGTCTGAGTGTATGTGCGAGTGATGTATGTGTCTGTATGTGTCTGTGTGTGGGGGGGGTGGGGGTGGGGTTCGGACATTTGGTTCAGGTCACTTTGAACAGTATTTCTGTTACGACCTGCCTTGGGGAAGGTTCATCACAAGACAATGAAGTCGTGCACAACAGGGAAAAACTTGTTGATCTATGGTGCAAGTATTTTCAAGTATGAAGCTTATACTTTAAGTCGTCTTTCATAAACATGTAGACCGCCTCCGTGGCCAAGTGGTAGAGCGGCTTCCCAGAGAGCGGCTGCACCATACCAAAAAGTCGTTAAAAGACGTTAAAAGGCGTTACCTGCGTGCGCCATTAAGGGGCTTAACCAAGGACTTCCCGGCTCGGGGTTCAGTATACGGTGTCTGAGTGGGGTTTTCATGTTAAACTGCTATATGGTATGTCAGTGGGTTAGCACTATAAAACAGCATTAGAGGGACCAGTACAATGGGTGAGTGGGTGAGTAATATTTTAAGTCACATCGGCATTATTTCAGCCATATAGTGACTATATCAAATTTGATAATACATCAGTTTAGAATACAAACCTGCCGACAAAGGACGGTAAAAGAACTAGATTATCACAGATGAAGGTTAAAACTAGTTAATGACCATACAACTTGACGATTCATACAATACAATACAATACAATACAATACAATACAACACAATGTAAAATTGGGCTATATATCACCAGCAACCTAAAGGTAGGCCACCATACTCGGGACTATGGGGACTTACAGTATCTTTGCTACCTACATGGAACCGGGCATTATTTACACCATCCCTTCAGTTACCGGTGATTATGGAGAAGTTTAGCCAAAATTAAAACAAACAAATAATCTACGATTAAAAACCTTATATATATAAAAAAGTTTGAATGAAGTGGGCTTACGCACCCTCTCAGGGGGACAATAATTTTACGCTACTTCAACCCCCATCAAGGGTACAACCACTAACAATCTCAGGTCATAATCATATGGAACCAATTTGTAAAATATATAACTTTCTACATCAAAATATATTAATCAATTCAATTTCTTTTAAAAATCCAAGAATTAAATGAGAGTTTATGTTAAAGAGATCCTTGACTGATGAAACGTTGAAATATTGATCCCTTGTGATTGCAAAATCAATACAGTCAATCACGAAATGCTTGACCGTGCACATGATTCTCTCATCACAAGAGATACAAAAACGGAGCTTCCTTCCCTTTCAATAAATACTCGTGGGTGTATCGGGAATGTCCAATACGACATCGTTTTAGAATGACCTCTTCCGGACCAGTACAAGCAGCCACGCACGCACGCACGTCGCTATTAAGTGGAATTATCTTGACGCTGAAGCTCATGTCACTTCACCTCCAAGTTTTTTACATGTACTCATATTTTAATGATACCTACCGTTCCAAATATTTGTGCACATTAAATACTTGGTTCTCTGAAGAACTATTTCGTTCCTAAATTGTGGACAGATCCTTGCGGAAATTGTCGTTGGTGTTGATGTTGTCCTATCGTAACACTTTTACAGGTTTCTTGCCTTCGACAACATCAAGATTATTTGGCCAAGAAGTCAAACATGCCAATTATGAATTAAACACTATTGTACATGTTTTGTTTCTAAACACGTTTCGGGGACCCGGGTGGCCCAGTCGTCTAATGCGCCGCGATTCGCTGTGCAGAGTTGCGTCCCCTGGACACGCCAGAAACCTATGATTGTGGGTTCGAATCCCGGTCCACCCCGATTATGTTTCTAGGTTTGTCAGCACCATACCCGTGCTCGTTGGTTTCACCGATGTGGTAAACGTCTAGGACCTGCATCACTTCGGGCTTTCCTCCCACATTCAGCTGACACGCCGTGATATAACTGGAACTGGAACTCACTCACTCACTTACTCTAAACACGGTTCACATATGAAGGCGATTTAAACACATTTAAAAGAATATTTAGGGTATGAAACTCTTTGAGACAAGGGATGTATTTCAGTTCTTGCTTAAGATTTAAAAACATTCTCTCATATGATACTCATTTGTAAACGAAAAAACACATACATCAAACTTATATTTTTTTAGTGAGCATAACACTAGCACTTGCAGCATAAGGAAGTGAAATTGTACAATTGTTTAAATATAAAAAGAATGAAACCTAGAAAATCCAATAATTTCATTAAGTATGATATCGTGTACATTTGGGACAGTTGATTTATGTGCCTCTGATAATGCTGAAATAAACGACGAATTTGAGTTGTTTATCGTAAAATATAACACTACAATGATTTATTGTACGATAAACAACGATCATGAGTCGTTTCTTTCTTACATGATATATCAACATTTTGTACAACCCCTTCAAGAGTGATAATGATATTTATCATATTATGGGTATGTTTCTCGGCAGGATAAGGCCAACGGATAAACACGATATCCGTTGGGATCATATGCGGTTAGCGATGCAAATAGCAAAGGTCAAGTAGGGACTACTTTCAGTGTTTATAAACAAACATGGCGTCGCACTTATCATTCGGCGATCGAGTCATAATTAACCATCCTTATTAACCGTCTTATATACTGAAAATCAATGTCGATCTGCGACGTAACTGAGGCATTTTATAAGTTTTGGCAACTTAGATATAAATTTCGAAACAGTTTTGCAAGGGCACTAGTCAAGCGGGATCAGTAGCCATATCTGTCCGTGTAGACCTCTGCGGCTTGAAACCTTTTCGACAAATATAAATAGTTGGATTTAGTCGAAATATGTATGGATTGTTACCTTGTTTCGTTTTGGCGCTGTGTGTACATCAGACGGGACTTCTTAATGTTATGACAGGACAGACCGACTGTCAACAACGTCTGAACGTGGCCGTGACGTTTCATAGACTAGGGTTAGAGTAGCTTCCCTTTGACAAAGGAAAGTTACTCCAGCAAACAGACCAATGGATTGCCGCGAAAGGCAATAAAAAACAATTGTTGTTTTGCGTATATGTTGCTTCGCCAATGTATAAGAAACAGATTTCGGTTGGAACTATATGGGCTACTGTCACTGTCCGACTGACACATCACTTAACCTGTGACGTAATAAATATTAATGCGCGCATTCCAGGAAAACTCGCAATGTTTCGGTAATGTTTGTAAGAGAGGGAAAGCGATTTTGAAGCACAGAATTACAGATTGACATTATGTGATAAAGAGGTTATCACGCTTGTGTGTTTGGGGATGGTAAATATGGTAAATATCCTGTATTGCCAAAGCTCGCTAAATACAATGTTTATTCCTAATGCTGGATATTTACCATCCCCGAACAGACAATCGTGATAACCTCTATGTACAAGTTTTTTACAAGTTACTTACCCGTATTTACGAAGTGATGACTCCCTGAATATAATCCGATCTCAACAATGTCGGACAAGGGGGCTACGTTTGTTACTTATCGGATAGTCTCACAATTATCACGTCGATCATCTCTGTCTTTTCTCCCAATACCGATTGTGATATCTCTCCCTCTTTTGAATGTGATCGTTCGGCAAATTGCGTTCATCTGCGTTGCCCAGTTACATCTAAGGGAAGCAACTCACATGGACACTTCCCTCTCAAAAATAACGTTCAATTTACGACGTCATCAAGTTGCGAGCGCACATTCGAATCTCCAGAAATAACGTCATGATAGAACAAAGTTTTATCGCGAAATAAACAACCACCATTTTTCATTGTTCTTTGCTATTTCTTGCGTAGATATTTGATATGTATGGTTAATGTAGACACGAATACACGTTTATTTAACAACCTAGAATATTTACAACAGCTTCCGACTGTGATAAGAAGGACATATATTAACATTCGCCATTCAGTTTTATGTCAATGATGAAATTGCTGGTTCGAAACGCTAACGTGCGCGCACTTAAATAAGAATGATTTTTTCTAAAATATTACAGATTTTAGTTAATACTAGTTTGAGAGCATATAATAGAATAAACTATAGCTCAACAACACAATATAAAAACGAGTTATAGATCGCCAGCAACCAAATTTGGCTACCACACTAGGGGACGTGGGTTCTTACGATACTTCTGCTACCTGCACGGCTCCCCAGCAGGATTTACACCATCCCTTCAGTCGCTGTCGATTGTAGCCAATATGAACCACCAGTAAGTTACAAATATACTACGAGTAAAAATGTGATAGTTCTAATTCACTTTGAAAGAAGTGGCACTTATGTATCCTCTCAGGGGGACAATAATTTATTTGTACTTTAACCCCCTTCGAGGATACAGCCACTAACAGTCTCAGTCGCTAATTTAATCTTCCAATTTTAAAACATATACTGAACAGCATTGAAAACGCACCACCATGACAATGGATGTATTTTTATCCGGACTTAAGTCATATGAAAATATATAAGTGAATGAGTAATATACGACGTTCTGGACAAAGCATGAGTAAGAACAGCTCGTCAAAACACATTCCAAGTCTTTTTGCGAGCGAAATCGCCAAAACGAGACAAATTGCGTGCACGGCATGGAAAACGTGTTTTGTTTTTACGGGAAGCATGCAGAATAGGGCTATAAAAGACAGACTTTTAAAAGCCACATCACTTGTTGCTGCAGACGTGAACGGTACTGACACAAGAAATGCCAAGATTAACAGCAGAGGAACGTGAACGTGCCTTGGGCACGCTTCAAGTTGGTACGTCAAGTAGAGTCGTTGCACAACGGTTTCAATGCCATCATTTAACAGTCCTCAGGCTACTGAGCAGATACCAGCAGACAAGAACCACCAGAGATCGACCACGTCCGGGTCAACGTCGTGTAACTACACCACGTCAGGATCGCCATATTGTTCGTCGGCATCTTCGTGATCGTACACTTCCGGCTACCAGGACTGCAGCAACCGTACAAGGCCGACGGAATTGATCAGCGCTGACACCGTACGTCGACGTCTCCGCTCATCAGGGCTACGTGCTCGACGTCCATATGTTGGACCCATACACACTGATCGACATCGAAATGAACGTCTGCGTTGGGCCAAAAGGCATCGTCATTGGAGATTGCGTCAGTGGCATGGTGTGCTGTTTTCTGATGAGTCCCGTTTTCATATACGGAATGCTGACGGTCGACTGCGAGTGTGGCGTTGACGTGGAGAACGTTACCACAATGACTGCGTTGAACAGATAGATTGATGTGTGTGTGTATGTGTGTGTGTGTGGGGGGGGGGGGGGGAGATCATGTGGTGGGGCGGCATCAGTCATAACCATGTTTGTCGTGGAAGAGTTAATGTCCTTTACTACAGGAATAACCTATTTGCAAATCACGTCACCCCATTCTTTCCTCAGCACCAGGATATGCACACCTTCCAGCAAGATAATGCAAGAGCGCACACAGCACCTGGCTCAACACAGTACATAGCGAACAATAATGTGCCTCTGCTTCCATGGCCAGCTCTGTCACCCGATCTATCGCCAATTGAACATCTATGGGATTACCTGGGTCAACGCCTCTCACGTCGTCCGCAAGTACAGAACCTGAGAGAATTTGAAGATACACTACAACAAGAGTGGAATGCCCCAGAACACTTTTCGCAGATTTATTCGATCAATGAGAAGACGTTGCATGGCCTGTGTTGCTGCCAATGGCGGACATACCAGGTATTGAATTTTCATTTTAACCCTATGTGTCTTCCTTACACTGATGACGTAAATGTAATTACTGTGTGATATTACTGTTTCCTTTGTCGTCTTTCTTAATAATCCGTCTATGTCTGTTCTAATTAATATCGGTCATTGCTCAAGTTGTTTTTGTAATATTTCAAGATTTATTGCTGGTGCGTTTTCAATGCTGTTCAGTATAGTTATTGTACGAAACAGATTATTTAGCAAAATGTTATTCAATATCCTTTAAACAACAATAATTAAAGGAGAACTTATACAATGTGTGTGTGTGTGTGTGTGTGTGGGTGCGTGCGTGTGTGTGTGCGTGTGTGTGCGTGTGTGCGTGCGTGTGTGTGTGCGTGTATGTGCGTGTGTGTGTGTGTGCGTGTGTGTGCGTGTCTGCGTGTGTGTGTGCGTTTGTATGCGTGTGCGTGCATGCGTGTGCGTGTGCGTGCGTGCGTGCGTGTGTGTGTGCGTGTGTGTGTGTGTGTGTGTGCGTGTGTGTGTGCGTGTGTGTGTGTGTGCGTGCGTGTGTGTGCGTGCGTGTGTGTGTGTGCATGTGTGTGTGTGCATGTGTGCATTTGTGTGTGCGTGTGTGTATGTGTGTGTGTGTATGTATGTGTGTGTGTGGGTGTCTGTGTGTCTGTGTGTGTGTGTGGGGGGGGGGGGGTTGTATGTCTGTGTTTGTGTGTGCGTGTGCATGTGTGTGTGCGTGTGTGTGTGTGTATGTACATACGTATGTATGTAACGATGTATACTAGATAACAACGATAAGCAGGTTCAGTCTTTTCCAGATCATCAGTAAACTACACTTAATATTTTACAAAGGGCATATTGCTCACACGAAACACCCATTTCTACTGTCTTAAGTGGCACAAACGCCAATGCTTTATGGCCGGAACGAATCACAAGCAATGTGTTCCGGTAACGGATGTGTGATGGCACGTGGTCTGTCCCCTATGGTATGCGCATCATGATAGTTATCCCGCAGATGCCGTGACTCCCTCCACAGCAGCAACACGCACATGCTCACTGTTAGACTGTGTGTAGAAACACAAGTTGCAGGTTAGTATTTACTTTTCTTCTTCTTTTTTTAACTTCCTTATGATAGGCTAACAAGACACCTGTGAACATGTGTAATATTGATAAATTTGTTTGTTTGTTTGTTTTTTTGTTTAACGCCGCATTCCAACTATATCACGGCGGTCTGTAAATAATCGAGTCTAGATCAGACAATCCAGTGATTGATGTCATGAGCATTGATCCACGAAATTGGGAGACAATGACATGCATCAACCAAGTCAGCGAGCCTGACCACCCGATGCCCTTAGTCGCCTTCTTACGATAAGCATAGTCGTATCATTATATTAAATACAAACATATACATCTGGTGTGCGATGATTTACTAAGATATAGCAATTATATCAGTTAGGTTGTTGGTTGTTGTTGTTGGTTTGTTGTTTAACGCCGCACTCTACAATATTCCAGCTATATGACGGCGGTCTGTAAATAATCGAATCTGGACCAGACAATCCAGTGATTGATATCATGAGCATCGATCCACGCAATTGGGATCGATGACATGCATCAACCAAGTCAGCGAGCCTGACCACCCGATCCCGTTAGTCACCTTTTACGACAAGCATAGTCGCCTTTTACGGCATGCATGGGTTTATCAGTTAGGTAAATGTGTGAAATATACATATCCTCTTTTTATAACTAATATTGATATATATTTCTCGAGATCAACGAAAGTGAATTAGTGTAAAATCGCAGACATTTGTCACGTCAGTGAAAACCATAAGCACATACATACTTATCATTTCGAGGCCAAGATTATTTTTGCGAGCAAACTAATCAATATTTATGCGGACTGAAATGATAATAGGATCCCCACACCACTGAGGTATTTAATTCTGTTCAGCGAATATTATTCAGTAACATCAAGAAAGAATGATTTCACTGGCTTTTAGGGATGCATGCTTCAAATAATTCATTCGGATTGGTTAACTCCGAAATAAAGTTTGCTGTTTCTTGTGATATAAATATAAGCGACATGACCCTTTTTATAAACAGAAATTTCTGTTTAATATGAAACGTCAAGGCCAGACCATAACCAGTCTCGATTATTCGACGAAACAGATTCCTTTGGGCGTAAGAGGCAAGAAAGCAGTGAAATTTATATGAACGGATCACTGTCCTAAACTAATTTTGATCATGGATCTTATCTATGAAGAAGTCCAGAATTTCACATATTTAGTTCTCAGCAAACATCAGATGACGTATTCTCGACAGGATCTTCACGGATGCATGTTACAGCATTTAGTAGTGAGTGAATGAGTTTGGTTTTACGCCGCTTTTAGCAATATTCCAGCAATATCAAGGCGGGGGTCACCAGAAATGGGCTTCACACATTGTACCTATGTCGGGAATCGAACCCGGATCTTCGGCGTGACGAGCGAACGCTTTAACCACTAGGCTACCCGACCGCCCTAAAACATTTAGTAGAGAACTTACATAATGGTAACGACTTAAAAACAACTGTCTTAGTAACAAACAAAAACAACTTCCTTAATGAAATATCGTTTACAAGCTGTCTTCAATCAGTTAAATATTGAATAAAAACATTTCTATGACAAAGACAAACACTCAAGTAAAAAACGACGACGCCGCCATGCTATCCAACCAACAAGCGACAATAGACAATAAGTAAGACAATGTCCGGTGTATCTATATCTAGATTAAGAGGCAGGGCCAGGGTGACACGTTTATAGCACAAGTCATAACTGTATACTTCCTGGTACAGATGTAAGTAGAACACACACTCATCCGTCAGTTTGAAAATATATTTACTAACTGGACATCCATATTACATTGTCACAAAATTGCTGTTTGAAAACATTCTTCAGTTGTGAATAAATATATATGTTTTTAAATACGAATATATATCATATATACCGGACAGAGGTTACACATTTGGTGGTCATTATATAGTATAAATTGAAGAACTAAAACATATTTCACATTAAAAATACAATCGACTGTCGATAAGCTACAAATCAACTGACTTTAAAAAGAATTATTTTTGTCCCGTTTGCTGCTCGCCCGACAAGATGTTCCAACTTTCCACACCACCAATATCGCAGTAACGATGTCCAATAAGAGTGAGTGAGTTGGGGGTAAGGCCGCTTTTAACATTATTCCAGTCATATCACGGCGTGTCAGGTTAATGTGGGAGGAAAGCCCGAAGTGATGCAGGTCTCAGACTCTGGTGAAACCCACGAGCACAGGTATGGTGCTGACAAACCTAGAAACATAATCGGGGCGAACCGGGATTCGAACCCTCTGGCGTGAGGCGCCGTAGATGGTTGTGCCACCCGTGATCCCGTGTGCTATTAGAAGTCAGCAATAAGAAGTAGCTATCAAGTAGTTGTCCATCTTTCACAAGAAGTTCAGTAATTTATTAATAGCAAAATTAGTACGATAGAATCGGTCATCAGCAACTCATGCTTGTCGTAAGAACAATATTGGGTGGTCAGGCTTGCTGACTTGGTTGATGCATATCTTCGTAACCCAAATGCGTAGATCGATTCTCATGATGACAATCACTGGATTATCTGATCGAGAATCGATTATTTACAGACCAAAGTTATATGGCTGGAACATTGGTAAGTGTGGCGATAAACAACACACATGCAAACACAACATTTACTTGAACGCTATCTCTTGTTATAAGGTGACATGCACTGATTCGCCGTTCTTATTTAACTACCCATATGACCCATATAATTTGTCCAATATAAATGGGCACAGAGCAACAAGGAAGTGATCTATTTATATGCTTGGTTTTTTTTACACGATTCTAGTTTACAAATGAGGATGAATAAAGTTCGAGGTAGGGACCCAATGAAAGTATCTACTTATACAGGTTTTTTTTCTTGTAATCATGTTTCTACGTAATGAGATTCGTGTTCTAACAAAATATGGGGTGATTGGGTAGCCTATAGGGTTGGGACGGGTAACCCGGGTCGGGTGGGTACTGAGTAGGACCCAGGTACCCACAGGACTACCCAGACCCGTGGTTAGTCACGTGATATATTGTTTGGTGACCAAAATTATCTAGAACACTATGGTTACACTACAAGTCACTCATGTTCGCATTTCTTTCTGACTCTGCGCCCATTCCTTCTGACTTTTCATATCGTTGAATAAAGATATAACTTAATTCAACTTCAGTCTATGAATGACCAGATTGTATACTAATAATAATACGTGTACATGTATCTAAATACGTTTGGCCAGGGCTATCCTAAAAATGTTCCCATTCGGACATTTAGAGACATCTCCTGAGACCTACAGTGGGTACCCGGGTAGGGTCGGGTATTAGTGGGGTGGGTACCCGGGTAGTAAATTTGGACTCGTCCCAGCCCTAGTAGCCTAGTAGATGAAGCGTTCACTCATCACACAGAAAACTCGGGTTCGATTCCCCTACACGGGTTCAATGTATGAAGCCAATTTCTTGTGTCTTCTGCCTTGATGTTGTTGTAATATTGCAAAACACGGAGGAACACTCACTCACTCATTACAAATTATGTAATATACTAAACAAGACAGTAACACATTTATCATAAGGTATCCCAATTCACAACCGAAATAATTATAAGATGTTTCTTCCTTTGTTAGTAGATAAGATGGCTCGCGTTTCTTTTGACGCTTTGCTTGTTGTTTTATGTTTCTGCTAAATCAGATTCGAGTTACAACACAATATGGTGTTAGGGTAGCACAGTGGTTAAAGCGTTCACCCGTCACGCAGAAGCCCCAGGTTCGATTACCCCACATGGATGTAATCCGAAAAGCCCATTTCTGGCGTCTTCTCCGTGGTTTTGCCGCAATATGACAAAAACTTAGTGTATTATGTAACATATGACAGAACCACATTTATGACGGAGCATCCTAGATGACTAACGAAAACATTATAGGGTTCATCTCATATTAGTAATGACAGCTTTAATTTGCTTCTTGATTGCAGCTAAGATGCTACTTTGCGTCCTGTGTCTGTTCCTTGGCTGCCTGACTCTGTCTGAAGGAGGACATCTCAACATCAGCTGCAAGCCTTGTGTGTGTAGTGTGGCATCCAATGGAAAACTTATCGCCAATTGTTCGGACAAACATCTATCTTCCATCCCCGAAACGATACCAAATTCAGTATCATACCTGTGTTTGTCTCATAACAGAATTAATCCTCTGCCAGGTCGTTCGTTTCAACGGTTCACCATATTGGAACATCTTGACCTATCCTTCAATCAACTAAGAACTTTGCAAGTGGACACTTTTATCGGAGCTACAAACCTGCTACAACTGAGTCTCCATGGAAACAATCTTCCGCTAAACGAGACAGCATATCCAGAGGGGATATTCAGACAGCAGAAAAGATTGCGTACCCTGAACATTGAACAGAACAGCAAGGTCGCAGATTCAGTGTACCCAGATAAAGCTCTTGGTGATCTTACTGCTCTTCGGACACTTGTCATTGATTGTGTACGTAATGCCACTTTTGGGAATGGATTTTCGAAATTGAAGAATCTTACTAAGCTTACGGTATCAGGGGAAAGGGGCAACTGTTCAATTCAGAAGCTGCTGAATACATCTTTCCTTCACATTCCATCTGTCAGGTACCTGGACATCAGCAAATGTGGAATCTACTCTATTGAAACAAGTGCATTTTGGCCACTGAGGCATATTGATACTCTAGACATCTCCAACAATCAGTATCTAGGATTTGATAGCCTTGGTGAAGCTGTATATGGGCTTCGGTTTTCATCTCTAAGAGTATTAAAGATCAACAGGATTGAGACAACATTTGCCATAGGAGTTCACATAAAGCAACACAATGTGAGGTATTTCACTGATCTTAATGTAAAGGAGATCTATATAGATTCAAACAGAGTGGAACTGATCGATCAGGAATGCATCAGACTTTTAAAAACTGTGGAACTGGTATCCATGAAACACAACAGAGTGACATTTGGATCCTATCTCCTGAGTCTGAATGAACTGACAAATTTACGTACAATCTATGTTGAAAACCAGTACGCATCTAATATCCCTCTTGTTGATTCTGGTACAGTCCCAACTCCCTCCGAGAATCCGAGGCTGCCTTCATCTGAGGCTCAACCAGTGGTTCAATATTCACGAATATGCACGCGTGCCTGTGAGGCAGAATGTACCAATAGCTCTTTGTGCTGGAACTATCATAATAGTTATTATTACAATGCAGAATATGAAAAAAACATAATCATTGACTTAAGTATTAAAATACCGCTACCTCCAAATGTAACATATGCAAATGTTAGCAACAGTAAATTGAACTATCACATTGGTGAGCTCAACTTTAATAGAAACCAACTTAGAACAGTCGATTTATCCCACAATGTCTTTACAAGGTGGATAGGGCCATTACATGAATCTCACACAGTTGAATACCTGGATCTCTCTGACAATTACTGTACATATATAGCTCCCTCATTTTTCATGTTTGCTAGTGGCCTAAAAATCTTAAATATAAGTAGAAATTACCTCTCAGTGGCTCTTCAAGCGGACAGAAAAGGGCGGATATTGTTCAACCAAACAAACTTGGAAGTACTAAGAATCTCAAATAATCTTATTCGGGAACTGCCTTCATCAATATTCAAGAGACTTACCAGACTTCAGGTTCTTGATTTAAGTTGGAACATGATGACCTCTTGGACTGTTGAGATTAGCCACATGACGCAGCTCCATACCTTAGACATATCTGAAAACAGATATGAAGACATACCAATACAACTAACAAATCAAATTGACCAAATAATGATTCATAGAAACGACAGTCTTCAACTAAGCATCAAGGACAATATCTTGAAATGTGACTGTACGACACTGGGCTCATTAGAGTGGATTACCAATCCATATATTTCCATAAAAGAACCTGGCAGTACACAATGCAGATTATCAAATGGGGAAATCATTACATTTCTAGATATAGAAGACATTATAGTGAAGCTCCGGCTACGATGTAAAATTGCAATTCCTCTGATATCCACAGCAGTGGTTGGAATACTATTTTCAATGTTCATATTTGGAGCTGGTATGGTATACCGATATCGATGGAAGCTGCGCTATCTATACTACACCACCAGACGGAAGTACAGAGGCTACCAGAGACTGAGAGAAGGTGAAGACCATTTTACTTATGATGCCTTTGTTTCCTATGCTGATGGAGACAGAGGGTTCGTTATCGAAGACATGCGAACTGTACTGGAGAGACACTATGGCTTGAGGTTGTGCATCCATCACCGTGATTTCATGGTTGGGGAAGCCATAACTGCCAACATCATCAATGCTATTCAGTCAAGCAGGAAGACCATTGCTGTTTTGTCACCGGACTTTGCAAAGAGCGCCTGGTGTGACTATGAAGTCCACATGGCTAAGCTGGAGAGTATCCACACTGGCAGAGACGTCCTGTGTGTGTTGTGGTATACTGACATACCCGACACGAGAATCCTCAGTAGAGATATCCGGGACCAGATCAATTATGACACCTATATTAAGTATCCAACAGTTGAAAATGATAAAAGGGAGTTTTGGGAGAAGATCAAAGCTGCAGTTAGCTTCTGAGATGGTTGCATATGTCTCTAGAACGTTCAGCAGAATGGGTTTGAGCATTGTACCTATATTAGATGTGATCATTGAAGTGGGCATCAGTTTCTCGGATGTCATCAGCAGACATGTAATCAGTTCCATAGCAATAAGATGTAAATGTGCACCTCGCGTGAATTGCGAGTACAGTGTTACTCAGTTAACTTGAAATTCTTCATTGATATTTCAGGTAGCCTAGTGGTTAAAGCGTTCGCTCGTCACGCCGAAGACCCGGGTTCGATTCCCGACATGGGTACAATGTGTGAAGCCAATTTCTGGTGTCCCCCGCCGTGATATTGCTGGAATATTGCTAAAGCGGCGTAAACCCATACTCACTCACTCACTCACTCACTCACTCAGTTATGGGACATTTGTGCATCTCCCCAAATGAACTGAAGGTTAAAACCATCTACATCTGAAACGAGTCATATGCATTTCCGGAAGCACCACTTGATATACCACTTGATGTCTCAGTGTACGCATGATGCTGGTTGAACAGCGAATGCTCAAACAATCAGTGACTTCCAAGTGTCTTGAAGTAATGCGATTGGCGACAAGCTGACGCGTGTAATTATATACGGATCCTTCTGGAACAAAGCTAGCCATCCAATTGGCCAGTTATCACTTGTACAAACCCATCAAATTGTTTGTTGATTTCCGATAAGCCCTCGATTCGAACAAGCTCTTGTGGTATTCATTAATGAAAAAAATGGAATACATAGTCGTTTATTTGTGGTTTTCAAGGATTTATCCTTCCAGTTCAGTAGGCTGTCAGGATATCAAAAACTCCTCTTACAGATAATACGAATTACTGACAGCGTCCGACAGGGCTGTGTGTTGAGTCTCTTTCAGACAAAGGATATTGCTGTTAGGTTATTTGTCAACATTTGTGTTAATTATATACCTACACAATCTCTTAAGTAATATAAATGACTGTGAGTGAGTGACTGAGTGAGTTGGGTTTAACGCCGATTTTAACAGTATTCCAGGTATATTGCGGCGTGTCAGCTTAATGTGGGAGGAAAGCCTGAAGTAATGCAGGTCTCAGACGTTTACCACTTCGGTTAAACCCACGAGCACGGATATGGTGCTGACAAACCTAGAAACATGATCGGGGCGAACCGGGATTGAACCCACAATCATCGGCTTCTAGCGTGCCCAAGGGACGCAACTCTGCACAGCGAATCGCGGCCCCTTAGACGACTGTGAAGGAAGCTCTATTACCACGCACTTCAAAAACCTAATATTATCCCTAAATATTGTTTTTGATGCAATTGCCTCACCAGAGTATTACTGTATTTATAAGTTGAAATGTACATGGGCCTCATGTCACAGTCCAGTGCCGCAATGTTCCCCGACGTTATTTCCGGTAATCTCCGGCGGTCGCTATTGTACAGTGTGAGTGAGTGAGTGAGTGAGTGAGTTGGGTATAACGCCGCTTTTAACAGTATTAAAGTTATATCCGACGTGTCAGCTGAATGTGGGAGGAAAGCCCGAGGTGATTCGGGTCTCAGACGTTTACCACTTCGGTGAAACCCACGAGCACGTGTATGGTGCTGACTAACCTAGAAACATAATCATGAACCGGGATTCGAAACCACAATCATAGGTTTCTTGCGTGCCAAAGGGACGCAACTCTGCACAGCGAATCGCGGCTCCTTAGGCGACTGGGCCACCCGTGCCCCCTGTACAGTCTGTGATCATTTGGTATTAGAGAATTAGTGGCCCAACTATTTTTCTCTCTTGTAATCTCATGACACTCTCGAACCATGTAATGACTGGATGTATGTTGTCTCTCATATGTTCAATACCATGTTCTGGTATTAAAAATGTTTTTGTATTTATGATTTGCAAACATTAGGGGAATTTATATCTACCTTCAGATATTTCTCATTTATCCATAGTAATTTTTCTCTCGTCAGTAATTGTACATAGCGTTTGTGAATCTTTAATGGTACCGTTGGATAGCTAATGTTGATAATTACTTCTCCAGTGTGGATGTTGCCTATTTATGATTTGCAAACACTAGGGGAATTTATATCTACCTTCAGATATTTCTCATTTATCCATAGTAAATTTGGCTCGTCAATAATTGTACATAGCTATTGTGAATCTTTAATGGTTCCGTTGGATAGCTAATGTTGATAATTACTTCTCCAGTGTGGATGTTGCCTATTTATGATTTGCAAACACTAGGGGAATTTATATCTACCTTCAGATATTTCTCATTTATTCATAGTAATTTTTGTCTCGTCAATAATTGTACATAGCTTTAGTGAATCTTTAATGGTACTGTTGGATAGCTTATGTTGATAATTACTTCTCAAGTGGGGATATAGTAGTTAGTTGGCTATTCGTGTTTTCCCCGGGTTTACAAACACACGTTAGCTTGTTGGCCCCGTCAGTTGTATTCCCCGACAGGATGTCTCCTCTGACGTCCAGACTTCGTACAGGTTCTACTACATCAAATCAGAACCAGTTTGGACAGTGCGGATTTCGTAGGGTGCGGTTTTCGTAGCCTTCAGTGCAGAATGAGAGACATCTGCAGGCTGTGATTGGAGGATATTTTGTAAGATTTTTAGCTCTTTCAAATGTACATCCATCCAGTTATTAAAACTAACCATGTTTTTCTATATTTAGTACTGTCTTTTTCAACATGATGACTTATGCTGAATGTGACCACAGCTATTTTCAAGTAGGTGACATTTGGTGCCAAACTGGGGGTGGTGTGTTTAGCTTCCGGTACTCGGAAAAGGAGCTGGCTAAGCAAGTCATTTTTATTTTTTAATTGCTGCTCTAAGGCCAAACTGTGCACACACGTACAGGTTATAGCTGTGGAATGCTTAGGTATTTTAAAAAAAAATATAACGTTACTATAGAAGTCTATGGGAAAATATTTGGTTGTGTGTAACCTTAAATCGTTCACGATTGCCTCGCTAATCAGGATTCGTCGGTAAGTTGGTTCGGGGCTTTGTCATCTAGATTCTGACTTAGTCTGGTTGTACTGAACTAAACGTAGTTACTTGCGTTTGTAATACTGTGTTTTTCTAGTAAGCCGTGGATAACCAGCCTTCCAGTGTTTGACTAGGCGCTTAGTGACTAGTGTTTCCAAAACTCTGTTTTTCTAGTAATCCGTGGATACCAACTTTCCCGTGATTATTTGGGAACTTTAGTATTTCCTTGCTCTATTTGGGAACTTTAGTATAGCCTTGTTCTATTTGGGAACTTTAGTATTTCCTTGTTCTATTTGGGAACTTTAGTATTTCCTTCTTCTATTTGGGAACTTTAGTATTTCCTTGTTCTATTTGGGAACTTTAGTATTTCTTGTTCTATTTGGGAACTTTAGTATTTCCTTGTTCTATTTGGGAACTTTAGTATTTTCTTGTTCTATTTGGGAACTTTAGTATTTCCTTCTTCTATTTGGGAACTTTTAGTATTTCCTTCTTCTATTTGGGAACTTTAGTATTTCCTTCTTCTATTTGGGAACTTTAGTATTTCCTTGTTAAGTCAGGAACTTTAGTATTTCCTTGTTCTATTTTGGAACTTTAGTATTTCCTTGTTCTATTTGGGAACTTTAGTATTTCCTTCTTCTATTTGGGAACTTTAGTATTTCCTTGCTCTATTTGGGAACTTTGGTATTTCCTTCTTCTATTTGGGAACTTTAGTATTTCCTTCTTCTATTTGGGAACTTTAGTATTTCCTTGTTCTATTTGGGAACTTTAGTATTTCCTTGTTCTATTTAGGAACTTAAGTATTTCCTTGTTCTATTTGGGAACTTTAGTATTTCCTTGTTCTAATTGGGAACTTTAGTATTTCCTTGTTGAGTCAGGAACTTTAGTATTTCCTTGTTCTATTTGGGAACTTAAGTATTTCCTTGTTCTATTTGGGAACTTTAGTATTTCCTTGTTCTATTTGGGAACTTTAGTATTTCCTTGTTCTATTTGGGAACTTTAGTATTTCCTTCTTCTTTTTGGAACTTTTAGTATTTCCTTGTTCTATTAGGTACTTTAGTATTTCTTGCTCATTCAGGAACTTCAGTCGATTAAGACTAGTTTTTATTGAGACGAAATCGTCTTGTTTTGTAGTCTAAGTGACTCACTTTAGGGATAAGCTTTCGGTGTTTATTTCCCTTTTGTGTACTTCATTCTCTCATAGGAGCATAGAGTTAATTGACTCAAGTGTTAATTAGTCGCAGCCGACATAATTGGCAGTCGACTCACCGGGTCCACATCGTGTCTAAGTTTTGTTTTAGCTACCTTCTGTTATTATAGCTGTTATATAGTTGTTTGGCTCAAACTTGGTTTATATTTGCGCTGATAGAATTAATTTGTGACCGGTATGAGCGCAGAGAGGATTTTTTTGTAATTGTCAACCATTAGTATAATTACTAGTTATTCAATAAACCTGTGAACCTATTACCACGTTATTTATCACTTTATTGTTATTTAGTGCCATACCTGATCATTGAAGCACAGCTCCGTGGCAGCCTCCCATACATGAATAAAGCATTATGTAGAGTAATCGCTTGTACAAACCAATAACAGCTTCATGACGCCATAGAACGCCCTAATATGACGTCACTCGCTTGACGCAAAATACTAAGTTTTATTTCATCACCGAAGTAAGGTATAAACAGGCTAGTCCCTTAGTTCGCGTATACTTCAAGCCTTTCAAAGTGGGAACTCGCGTAACGAGCGAGATACGCCATCTTTTCCTTCGGCTTCGCGGCGACAAGACACGTTTTCCGCATCAATCCCATCCTGGCTTGTTGAATATTATTTTCCCAGCTGTTTATGTTCTGGATTTAGGTTTTGATAGGGAGGATTAGTTGGATGAGCTTTGGTCATCTAGAGATTAAACAAATGTTATATTTGGGATAACGCTTTCTTAGTAAAGTACAGATTCTCGTTCTTTTTTTTGTGGATTCCCGTCCGGGATTCGAACCCACACTTGCCAGCGTGAGGCACCTTATAGCCAGCACACAAAGTCAGCGATCTAACCCATTCAGCCACCGAGGCTTCCACAAAAATGAAAGTCCGACAACTGGTAGTCTAGATCACGTACTTTGAGTACCCCTCTGACAAGTGTAAATTGGCACGGGTCCTATGGCCGAAAGCTATGAATACAAAATGCCATTAAGAAAGTTGTCAAATGTAACAAATAGAGGGGTACTCAAATTACGTGATCTAGACTACCAGTTGTCGGACTTTCATTTTTGTGGAAGCCTCGGTGGCTGAATGGGTTAGATCGCTGACTTTGTGTGCAAGCATTTAAGAGGCAAACACAAGCAGCCAAGAATCAAACGAAATCCAAAAGACAAGTGTAACTGATGCAGTGGGTAAAGTGAAGTCACATCATGACAATTTTCGAACTGGGAAGGTTACTAAATTCCTCAGCAGGGTGAACGTGACTGCTACAAATGCCCAAAATCTAAGTCTAGCAAACATAAACGCAAACGGGCTAACGTGGTGACATAATGATTCGTCATTTGTGACAGATAATACTTCGTCATCTTCCTCTGTTTCAACCATGGATAAAGTTTCTTCATGCAGTGAAGATTATGAACGTTTCAAAGCAGGCAATGACATGAGTGTGGCTTACGATTTATCTTCTGACATGAAACGTTATTTGGATACACATGGCCGCGAATATATCAAGGAAGAGGACATAAAATCCTCTGTTTGGACGGAAAACCCAGTGCCAGAGGTTGATATTCATCAATGTTAGGGGACCTCTGGCAAAGCTCTGGTAGAGTGAGTGAGTGAGTTGGGTTTAACGCCGCTTTTAACAATATTCCAGTTATATCACGGCGTGTCAGCTTAATGTGGGAGGAAAGCCTGATTGGCCACAGATTGGTCTAAAGATCTGAACAACTAAAACAGTTTGTAGCTTATTAACACTTCAAAATGGAAGTGTTGCCAATGCTGAAAGACTTAATCAAACACAGAGACTATATGATTCAGATAGATCTCAAGGATGCATGCTTCAGCATACACGCAAGACACAGATCATATCTGACATTTCACAACACTTATGAAGC